CAGACTTCGAATAATAACATTTTTGCCCCATTTAAAAAAAAAAAAAAAGAATAGGTACCAGTTATTATTTTTAAATCCAGATGTTTGGAAAAGATTATCCACACTTGAATATAATCTGCATTTAAATTGTTTGGGTAAACATAACAGCATTGTGCATTTTTTCAAATTTCAAGTAGTTTCCTTGAGGGGATTTAGCGGTTTGAATAGTGTATAATCTAGCTTTGATGGAAAATCCTTTATACACCACTTTAAGGACCTGTTTTCTTTGCATTCATCTGTTTTTTATTAACAGATTTAATGTTAACAGAAGTGATTCCCTCAATTTGAATAATTTCTCTTCACACTGTGGCAGCTCCAGAGGTTCTGGGTCCAGAGAAATATGACAGATCCTGTGACATGTGGTCTCTGGGTGTCATTATGTATATTCTGTAAGTCTATCTGTGTGATGTGTCTTTAGCAGTTTTACTTTCTTGCAATGACATATTGTTCTCTTTGAAGCTTGTCTAAGTTCTTGTTTTTTTTGTATTATATAACCCATGTTGTAACATACTGTATAATTTATATAGAATTAAATCTAGACCTGCTTTATGGAAAATGCCCAACTTCTGTTATAATTTAATTGAATCTATCATCATGCTTTTTTTCTGTTTTACACACAGACTTTGTGGTTACCCTCCCTTTTTCTCTCATCACGGTCTGGCAATATCCCCAGGAATGAAAAGACGGATCCGTACTGGAAAATACGATTTCCCAAAACTAGAATGGAGCGATGTGACTGATGAAGGTGAGGGGTTGGCTTGTTGGAAATTGAAAAGGTTGTTTTATCTGACAACACATTTCTATTTGCTAAATTGCTCCCTCCCTTTATGCATCCTCCATCGACTTGATATAAGTGTTTCTCCTGGGAGGACATACCAGATTTATTTCCTCAACATTTTTCTGGATTTCTATTGTTTGCTGCAGAGCCATTGTTTTTTTATATAACTTTCATGTAATCATTATAATTTAATATAAGACATATGGAAAAACAGTCCCACATTATTGCAGTTATTGTATGATTGCCAAACATATTATACAATTTGATGATGATTTTATGTTTCAGCCAAACAGCTAATTTGCCACTTACTGAAAACTGAGCCAACCCAGAGAATGAACATCACCGAGTTCATAAATCATCCCTGGATTAATGTGAGCAGCTCACTAAGGGCTTGAATCTTTTTGAGCAACAACTGCTTTTTAGAGATGTTTGTAACCTTTGGTGGACACTAATCCATATTCTCTCACTAGTACAGCAGTCAGTGGAGGTCCCACTAACGCCTCTTCACACCAGCCGCGTGCTGCATGAGGAGCAAGATGTCTGGGAGAAGGTTAAGGTAAGTGTTTGTGTGCTTCATGTGAGAAGTTGATGCTTCTTTAGACAAACAGAAAATGCTGTTGATTCTTTGTTTGTTTTTGAAAATCACGGTTAAGCATGGGTTTGTGTTTGATAATAAAGCTCATTTTTAAAATATGTCATGCTAGAAAAACATATCTTTACGCATACGTGATTGTTTACCCTGCACAGAGAAATCCATACAATATTAACTTCGAACTGTATGTGCGTATTGTGCATACTGTTTCATGTTGATTGTGTTTGATAAAGTTATCATTTTATTGTTATTATTAGGAGGAAATGACAAATGCCCTGCAAACGATGAGAGTGGACTATGATCAAATTAAAATCAAAACCATTGAAGACTCGACTAATCCTCTACTCTTGAAGAGAAGAAAGAAAAGTAAAAAACCACCCACACAACCTCCAGGCTAGTGACACACACACACACACACACACACACACACACACACACACACACACACACACACACACACACACACACACACACACACACACACACACACACACACACACACACACACACACACACACACCACACACACACACACACACACACCACACACACCACACACACTCACAAACACACACACACACACACACACATGCATAGTATTTAGTAAGAGCAAAAAAGCTTTGAATGAGAGCTTTAGGAGTTCTTTGCCAAGTGGCTGTAATAACTTCACAGTATTGTTTAAGCAGATTAAATTCTCTCCTCAGTGATTTGATCTTGAAACTAGAAGGCCTCTTGGCCCTTTGTTAAATGTGCTTAAGAACTTTTGAACTCTTTCTACAGTATACACTGAAAAGTATTGTTTGTGTACACTGTACACTAAGGGCTATAAATTAAACCTCTCCTTAGAGGAAACACAACTCTACTGTGTGTCTAACGTGTTGTATATTAGGACAGTTTTTATATTTTTGATGTACATATTTTAGTGAGCTTTGTTTGGCGTAACTCTTTTGGTTTATTTTCTGTTTCTTAAGAATTTCTGTCTTGAGGGTGTTGTTTGAGATAGTTTGGCTGTCCTTCATATTTGTCATTTGAATGGTTGTTACAAGAAACCACAACTTTTGTTTTGTTAACTGATGTGATGTTGGAAGGGTTTCTCCTTTCCACGATAAAGCACATTTTTTGCCAGATTGTGGTTGTGCAGTATCTTAAACGTATATGCCATATGCACAAATAATCAATCCTGCTATCACCGTGATGATTGCTTTTGATTGACAATACTGTAATGCCAATGGATTCTTTTGTTTAATTTTCTCCAAAGCAGTAATATAAAAAACAGTTGCATGAGGTTTGTTGTGTGAGGCGTAGGAAAAAATGGACGAAACTTTAGAGTTTGATGAGATTTACTGTGTAAAATGTTGCTCATCAATATTATAATGTCTGTGTTTTACTCTAGATTAAATCTCTTGAAAGTGTGTTGTTTGATTGGTAACCTGTTCTACGTTAGCATGTCAAAAACAGAATTTATCTCACTAGCATATTAACACAACTCTGAATTGCATTCAATTAGTGTTCCATTTAAAGTGAAGCAGAATGAAAAACCAACGGTTAGCAATGTCTATTGAGACATTTGACAATTATTTGGCAATCTAATAGCGATATTTTGTTCCAATGAACACAAAGCAAATGTCTATCCAATAGCGTGTCAAGAATTATGTAGAGCCAGGATGCTATTGCTCAAAATGTTGTAATCTATCTAAGAAAATGAAATTGGAAATGAATGGCAAATGGACCAAATGATGTTGAGATCCAATATTGTCCTTAATATTGGTTTCATGTACATACGATACTTAAAACTCAACCGTTTAAAGAATTCACAAGCAGAACATAGACAAATATGTTTTAAGTAGCATGTTTTAAAACATTACAGTTTGTAGTAAAATCAATCATGACAAGAAAATAGTCAAATGTTTTACCTTATGGTAAAGCGCACAACAGCAGAACACCTCAGAGATGATTGTTTAGTGCATGCTGTCATATTATTGTGGCTATGTTGGATTTTCTGGCTGAAGTTGGATACATTCATGAATGACACCTAGACAGAGTGTATTGCATCAAACATGTTGCTTTAATTACAAGACAATATTTATTTAATAGTTTTTTGCATCCTGTTTTAATTCAGACTGTCTTTGTGGCACATTCGGAGAATAACACACACAGCAAACGAAGCAGTCTTGCCTGATACAAATTATCAATGTATTTACAATGTGGATTACAGGGGGATGATTGAGAAATCCAACATCAGATTTCAAAGGAACATTGTTTATCCTGGAAACTTTTTGTTTCCCCTACCAAATACTGCTATATTAAATATTTGTGAGGAAGAACTTTCATTTATAATTAAGCACAGTTCAGAACACATGCAACACTTCTTTAATGGAGGTTCATGTAATAGATTGGGAGGATTTAAATATTTTAATGTTCTCATTAAAAGGTGGTTGAAGAATGTGATTTGACGAAAAACCTGCCAAGTATTTTGTATAAAGGGGTCCAATGTGTATCCTCAGGTCTCCTCTCCTCATGAAATGTTTTTGTGATTGAAGTCTTTACATGCTGAACAACTTTTATTCAAACAAACCCTTCATCTTGCGAGCCTGGAAGGCACATTGGGTAAGAGAAACGTAATCCTTGCATCTCTGCCTCCTATATTCCTGCTCCAATGGAAGGGGTGAATGGTGAGGCCCATTCATTCATGACAATCTGGAGGATGGTAATGGAAAAACTGCCTGCAGGCGCCAGCACAAACACATGTTAACTTTCTCCAGAGTTTGAACACTGTAATTGATGAAATGGGTGAGTACCTGAAACAGTCAGAAGAAAGAGACCGAAAAATGAAAAACATGTTTAAGGAGAATTATTGTGGACAAATAACAGGGTTTGTCAAACTTGTTTTCATGTTGAAACATACAGTGAATTATTGACAAAGGCCTTCTACAATGTAAGAATTGGATTATAAACTTTAACAAAGCTCTATTGTTTCATTTAAGTTGAAACACACCATTAATTACAGCGTCTAGACCCTTGTTTCTAAAGAAATCTTTAGCATAACCCCCCACCCTCTCCATAACCTTTATACAAGTACACTTCACAGCAAGCCAGCTTTCAAGTGGTAGTGCTAATGATAAGGCATGACACACTAAATGTAAACAAGGCTGTAAAAAAGCAGATGTTTGCCCCACTTCCCAGATGGGATTAATATTGACATGGCTGGAGGTGATATATTATGGTATAGGCTTTACATGCAAGCTGAAAAATGTATGGCCTCTAATGAGAGTGTGTGACTGGGGCTGCAGCTACGTAGAAAGGGGAGATAGTTAGTCTTTACTAACAACATATTTCACTCAGTCTGAGGAAAACACAGACGGCGCAAGCAAGAAAGGAGACATCCTCTCTGATCAACCAAGCGGTAAGTATACTGAACTTACTTACATTTAAAGATTAGAGCCAAGAGAAGTGGATCTTAAATGGTTGAACAAGCATGATTCAGTAATAGCTACAAAACATTTCCTATTATCAGTGTTTTTGGGATTAAGAAATATCCTAAAGTTGACTTTATATCAATTTTAAATCTTTTTCTTTCTTGGTTTTCTTACAGTGATCATGCAGACATTGGTGCTTCTCCTTATTCTAGGAATAGTGGATCAAAGCATCAGCCAGAATTACAGCCAGTTCAAGTGGCTGTCCTATCTGCGAGGGCGCCGGAGGCATGCCGCCTGGCAGGCCGTGGATGTCGACTGCCCACTGGAATGCGACTGCCCCTTAACCTTCCCCACAGCTATGTTCTGTCAAAACCGTAACCTTCAGCATGTTCCATACGTCCCCTCACACATTAAGTATGTCTACCTGCACCGGAACAAGATCACTGGCATCAAAGACGGGGTTTTTGACAATGCTACCAGCTTGATCTGGGTCGCGCTGTTTCAAAACCAGCTAGACTCAGACAAGATCGGCAAGAACGTGTTCAGCAAACTCAAGCACCTGGACCGGCTCCTCTTGGATCACAATGAGCTCACACGTGTGCCTCCAAACTTGCCAAACTCCATCACAGACCTGCGACTTGGTCACAACAAGATCTCAAAGATCCCCTCCAACTCTTTTGAGGGGATGGCTAACCTCGCCACCCTTGAGCTCCAAGCAAATGTCATAGAGGATGTTGGAGGTATGTTGAAGGGACTAAAGGCTCTGACCTTGCTGGATATGAAGAAAAACATGCTGAGTAAAATCCCAGACCACCTCCCCGAGCGGCTGCAGCAGCTCTACCTGGATTTTAATAATATACAGAGTGTGCCGGCAGGCTTTCTCACCATGAATCCCAAACTGCAGTTTGTCCGCTTGGCTCATAACAAGCTGACAGATAAAGGACTTCCATCCAATGTCTTCAATGTCAGTACGCTGGTTGAGCTTGACCTTTCTTTCAATAAACTGGAGAAGATCCCTGTTGTTAGTAGAAACCTGGAGAACCTTTATCTACAAGCCAACGAGATCAAAGGTATGGACACACTAACTGAGACATATTAAATAAAAGTAAATAAGTGGTCCCATTGGAAGAAAAAGAGTAATGTATACTACACCTCAAAGAACTGTAATGCAATTCGTATAACATGTTAGTAATAACTACACATTATTTTATAATGATTTTTATGATGAAACTAGTCTTAAGTTTCCTAAAAGTACATTTGAATGATTATTAAAAGTGCTGCGCTGATCTACGTATATAGTAATGTATACAGTTTTCCAGACCATTACACCTCATTAAAAATGTTATACACGAGAAACTACTTTTGTTGGTAGAGCGGGATACACACTCTGTCACTCACTCAGTTCTGAACCGAGCACTTTACAATACACTCGCTTCACAAATCATTAAAAGCACAAATGTAGGAGGACATTTTAAACTGCACACCCTTCAGACATAACTGAATCCATCCAATTAAGAATATGCAATAACTTGAAGGAGGAGGGCTGTTTGAGGAGCCCTACAGCGACTCAATGCACTCTTGTTGCTTTTACTGATTTAAAGTGAAGTTTAGACATGCACCGGTTCACCCATATTGTTTATAGTATAGTCTTGTTTCCACTGTAACATTTATCTGTAGGCTACTATTTGGCAGTTAAACCTCCTAAAACGTTATGTATTTTTTGTCGCCAAGCCGAAACATGAAACATTACATCACTTCTGGGCTGGGGACTGAGACTGCAACAAATCAGAACATTTTCAACCATTAGATGACAGAAACACACTTTTTAATGCTGCCTTTTTAATAGAGTTTTTCCTTAAACACATTTTTCATTGCAAGCCCACCCACATATGGAGCAAAAACTCCCAATAATTAAAAAAAGGAAAACAGAAAAAAAACAGTCATCACTGAGTTTAATCAAACAAGAGTAGCTTTAATATGGATTGTGAGAAATACAGCATCTCAGCCCTTCTTATAAAGACACACTTAAAATCCCATGTGGGAAATACAGCACAGCAGAATTCTGTTTAGTTTGGCGGTGTTTTGATGTGAACATCCTGGTTCCTGCCTGGAAAGTCTCACAGGACAGCAAGAACATGCAGCCTCCCTTCATATTTCTCTCATGTGTCTTTCAGAGTTCTCCCTGAGCAGTTTCTGCGATACCATCGACATGACAAACTTCTCCAGTCTGAGAATGCTGCGATTGGATGCCAATGAGATCAGTGCCAAAGACATTCCTGCCGAGGCGGCCTACTGTTTGCGGCGCGTTGGCTTTATTGAGGTTTAGCTCTTGCTGCGCTCTCTCTGATATCTCTTAACTCATCCGATGTCTTACTTCATCTCTTATCCCCCTCCAATCTCTCTTCACCTGTCACTTTATTCAGCGTTAAAACATATTTAAGACAATGCAGTGTTATAAAAGCTGTTTTCACAATCAAACCATTAAACAATTCCAGTATTAGTCAACGGGAAATACCAGAGCTGTATAATCACCAATCCAGATGACAGGCATATGTATCACAAAGACAACATATCCAAAGGCCAGATGACTGACATCCTTTCCTCACACTGTTATATTATTAGATCGGGTATTCTGGCAAAAATAATAAGATCATCATAATAACCATGGAGGTTCTGCTTGTTGTCTGGAAACATATCACCTGTATAAAGCATCCTGTCATCAGCTAGTGATTCCGTTTGGACCTTTGCCTCCACCATGTGGCACAAGGTGATAAAACTGTAGGCAGCCAAGATTGTCATAATTAATAATATTATTTGGCAAGGTCACATTTACTAATTAAAATGACAACGCCTTTTATAGTAAACAGTTTGAGTCAGTTTTCCACTGTTCGTCTGTTTCGATATTTTCATTATCAACATTACAAGTTGTGTAACGTGTTTATGTCTACAGGTTAAACATGTGTATTACTCCTACAATGAGCGTCTGAATTATCCAAAGACAATTATGTATGTTTCTATAATAGCTGCATCCTACTGCTGTTGGGTTATTTAAGCTGTTTTGGTTACCTAAACCCTCGCTTTTAAAAATATCTTTCGGGTGGTAACTTTTGAGCCGTGTACTCTAGCTAATGTCAGGATTTACAACATGAGAATTTGATGCAATTCAGTTTGTATCCACTTAGCAAGAAAGTTATGAATCATATATTGTTTGTGTAATTTAATTGTATCTTGTTATCGACCATTTTATACTTATTAAATCTTAGGAAAAAAAACATGTCTTCAGAGTTTCTTGTGCCCTTTACTGTGATTTATTTGTTGCTGTCAAATGTTATGTTTCCGCTAATTTGAAACGTAAAAGAAGCAAAGAGATTGGGGGAGAGAAAAAGGGCGGCAGCTCTTTTGACAACTTTAACTGGTCCAAGGCAGTTCCCAAATATGTATTGTTGAAGACAACTTGCCTTTTCATCTTGCACAGCTGCCTTTAATACTCTTCAGAAAGGCACTAAATTGAATTATAGAAATATTTTCCTTGTTTTGTCATGGGGCAAAGTCTCGTGACGAAGAATGGATTACTGCTGGATTAAGTTTTACACACTGATAAACTGTGAAATGAAGTGTGTTATGGATGATGATATATTGCTGGTTGTAGACGGTTTTGCAGCCGCTGTGGGGTAGAACTGTTTTGTTTGTTTCCTTCCACAGATTCTTCCAAATCAAAAAATACAGACCAGCACACATGCACACAATCACATGTGGGAATCTTTTACTGGTGTGGTCCTCTCCGAGACGAATACATTTCATTGCGAACTCAGACGTTATGCAATTTATGATTATAAAACAGGGCAGGACTCAGTATCTGAGTAAACATGAGTGAAAGTCATGACTACAGGAGGGAATGTACATGCACTGCCGTCTCTCCCTCTCTCCCTCTCTCCCTCTCTCCCTCTCCCCCTCTCTCTCTCCATGTGTTTCTTTCTGTCTCAAATGTCTCTATTGGCATGACCATATTGCAACACAGTTGAACATTGTACAAAATGTTATAGCAGTGTTTTTCTTTCGGTCCATCCTACAATCTTTCTCAGTATTAACCTATTATGTGCCACTACCATGCAGTATTGATAAAATGTCATGCATGCATATGAGTAATGGATAGTAGCACATTATTCCCACCAACTCCTGCTGTCACGCCCTGTGCAGTGAAGACATTTCCTGTGTAGCTGCAGCAGCGACTGGTGTGTATCTATTGATATTGTATCTCAACCTCTCTGCCAGTAACAGCTCTATGTGTTTGATCATTATACTTATTGAAACCATACTGTTTTGTTATCTTTGGCCACAAGTTTTATAAGTTGGAAGGACTGTGAGTTGATCAACAATGTAGGCTGATAATGAGGTGAACTAGACAAAGCACTGGCAAGACCCTTTGACTTTGATAAAAACATGTTTGACTCCCCATAAAGCGAGTCAAACTCAATATAGGCCAATATCACACTTAACAATTGATTTCCTGGTGCTCCTATAAGAATGCACTTTTAGCTACAACATGTGAGAGCATTATATTTAGTATTTTGTATTGATGGAACCTTTATTATCAATATTGTGATTGTATTGTCAAACTAATAAATAATTTGTGGAAATATTTGGAAAACAACAATACAAACAGTTGGTTAAGTTGTAGCAAATGGAGACACAATATTCAACATATATAACTAGTGTAAAAATAAAACTTTTTTAGTGAAAAGATATCTGCAAATACTTAATGCATAAACACAATATACATACCATATTATTCCAAATAAGGCCCATCTTTGCTGTCAGTCAAAGCCAAGCTTCTGATTAAATAAGTGAGCATGATACATTACACACAAAATACTGATATTAAAAAGTGTTCAGACGAATGAAATGTGCAGCTTCACGAGTGCTCCTTCTGCAGCTGCAGCGATGTGTTCTTTGCTGCCTGTGGAAAGAGTAAAATAAGAATAAAAAAGATGGATGTGCACTGCAGTAATACTTAAAACTGTGTCTGACACAGGTGTTTGTGTAAGACGTTAATCAAGATCCAGCTCCCGCCGTTTAACTCTCAGAAACCTTTTGAGGTAGCAGGTGATACTCACATTATTGTTGCTCCATCTCTATGTCCTGATTGTCTCTGCTTCAATCCAGATGACAAAGGAATGCATAAGGATTAGTGCAAAAAGATGAGTTTTAATTCCCATGTTAATTGTGTTATTACCTTGAATTTGTATGCGATCTTGATCTGTGAGGGTTGTGAGTTCTCTGTTTCGGAAAGAAAATACTTTATTAAATAATTCCAATTCAAATGACAAATTATAGTTACTTTAGAGCCATTCACAGAGTAACATTTGTTTTATATTGAAATAGTTTAACCATTTGCAAACAATACTCCTTAGTTCAGTGTGATGCAAGTGATTGATAGAGTAATGGGTCAAAATGATTAAGAGAATATAAAACAATATTTGACCATCATTTTGGCAATAAAATGTAGAACAGACTGTGCACATAAAATGACAGGGCAGTGAAAGGTTGTTCTGTGTGATGTAAAAACATTTCCATGGGTTATCCAATATTATTTTACCACTGTGAAAACTTGTTATTATTGAAATCCACTGCTGTAATTCAAAGCTGCTACACAGGCTCACATCTCCTTAACGGTGTAAACTAACATCGTTTTATCACCACCTTTCAAATTTACAGTGGCTGACTGTTTCACAGTCAAAATAAGTTTTGAGTGTCACTTCAAATTCTTGGCAAGGAGATGTTTGCCTAACCCCCTAGACAGGGCCGTCCCTGGCCAACATGAGGCCCCACACAAAGTTCTATGATGAGGCCCTCTGTTCCGCGACGGCCCTGCCTGTAGACAAAGCAAATATACATAGTTCCTTATATCAAACGGTGGGGTGCTAAACCAAAGTGGGTCACGGGTCACTTTCATGACGATCCTTGACGAAACTGTGCAGTAGTGATGAAAATTCCAGGTGTTTTAAAAGTTACGCTTTGTTAGTCTCCAAGTGTTAAAACAAGCCGTATGTTTGGCTCCTGTGTGGATCTTCATGCAGCTATGCTTGCTTCAAGTAAAGCTTCGATTTGAACACTGCCATATTGCCTGAAGGTGTGGAGGTGGACAGGGCTAGCATGTATCAGAGAAGGTTTACAATTCACAGCCAAGTTTCACTGATAAACTTTCTCACAAAGCTCCTCTTGTTTCCACATTTACAATACAGCCTCATCTGAACATCTGCTTTAGCACTCATTAGTTCCACTTAATGGACTACTAGCACATATTCTTGGCAAACACAGATGGCCAGCTACAAACAAAAATAATTACAGTTCATTCTGAGAATCTTAATACTATAGCTGCAAGACAACATTAAAACAAGTTTACGAGCATCTGTACTAATTTGACCTTTGGAAAACAAATACAGCAACTGCAACACGCAAGAAACTGCAAGTTTCACTAACAATCTTGAACAGAAATGTATCTGTGGCAAAGTGATTTGTCATTTCCAATGTTGTCAACTTCCTCATACAGTACAAAATGTGTAAGCCATTGCATCCATCTGTTGTCACATATTCTCATTGAGCACACAGATGATGTTAATTAAAGTCAGAGTGGGGGAAGTGCTTAAAGTTTAGGAAGTTGGCATGTACCAACTCCGTGAAAACAAAAAGCAGCTCAGACAAGAAATAAAACAAAAAATAATAGCAGTATTCACTAGCAGTAAATAATAATAATATTTCATAAGCAGCCATCGGCACTTTATTGCAATCCCTCTTCGTCAATGTTTGTGCATTCACTGCAGCATCCCTCATTCTCTGCTGCCTGTATTATGCCGCTTAATTGAAGTCACTTAAATAAGGATATTGGCAATACATTCTTCAAATGACAGTCAACCCTTCCTGCTCTTTCAAGCCTGGCAATTCAAGGATTAATTGGATTGCACTCTGGACAAAACAGGATCAGTTCACGATGGGAATGTCTCTTCCCCCTTCCTTATTTGAATGAATCAACTGCAGCATTTTCTGTGGTCTTTGGTGTCCAAAACAAAGCATTTCACCAATGTCCCATAATGCAGGCCTACATGGTGCACATTAAGTTGTATGTCTATCGAATACTGCTTAGTGTTTCAATGCTTCCTAAAGATGTGTAGGATTTCAGCTATAATCAAAACCCATGTTTGAGAAACAAGCTTCTGATTAACGAAGTCCTATTAGTGCATTACCCTCAAAGATCCTCTCAAATGGAGCCACTTGTTTTCCATTAACTCACCACTGTGAAGCTCTAATGTGATTTAATTCTGAGAGTCCCTGATGTATGCTTCCCTCAGTTCTGGTGTAATGTAATTTAACTTTGGACTAAACAAAATTGTGCGTGTGCTTGCAGGTACTAAAGTTATGTCCCACATACCAACGTATTCATCACATGCATTTTAGGTATCAGCAATACTCCTGCAATATCAGTTATATGGACTAAGAATCAGCGTTAGTCCCAAAGCACTTCACTTGGTTGCCAAATGTTTGCTAAATACAAATCTGGATGAGATGTAGAGTCCAAATCCTCGACCACAAAGATCAATAAAATGGAAATGAAGGATGTGAAATCCAATGTAGCTCATCTAACTTTCCAAAGTAAAAAGAACACGAGCAAATCTGTCTACCATTACCAAATACTTATTGCTAATTTCAAAAGAAAACCAATCCCAGAATGTCGATAAAAACACTGCACTTTTCACAAGCACTTCAATCTAACTGGTCTTAAAGGCTTTTACTGAATTGCAATTGGTGAAATATTCAACTGAAACAAACACGACAAATAGTTGCATATAGGAGAAAGAGCACGAAAGAGTGATTCTGATATCTAGAGTGAGTCAAGCCAGCGAGGGGGAGGCTCAGATGGTAAAGACAAGATTATTCCCAGATTTCCCAAAGATTTGACGACGTTTTGGTTGGTTAGGGCCTTGTTTAGCATTGACGAAGAATACCCTAGACTCTATAGACACTTCTATAAAGAATGCCACGTTGACAAAGAGATGTTTCTGCTTTTTTCTTATGTTTAACCCACAAACAGGCTTATAGTTATAAACATATTACTGCTTTCCAGGGATCGCTGTTCCACCAGGATTTACCTGCAGCTTGTCCGTTTTATTTAATGGTTGCTGAGCTTTTGTGTGTGTTCCTGATTTTGGTAGGGCATACAACCATTGTGGGTGTTGTAGTATTCATTTTGTCAAAGGATTTAGAATTGTTTTAATACTAAAGTATGTACCTGGGCTTAATGAAGACGTGCACGTGGATTCTGAGCCTCAGCCCGTTAAAAACACTGATGAAATAAAACAATAGGAAATAAAAGTTAATGGTGCCATAATGTCCAAAATAAGAGAACAATAAATGAATGCATTCAATTGTTTTTGCAGACTTTTGTGCAAATAACACTTCTGCTATCACCAGTTGGTCCAGCCTCCACCTTTTGTTGTTATGCTCAGTATTTTCTGTGAGGGAGAATTGGTACTTCTGCAAGAGGGAGTGCCAAGAGAGCACAGGCAGACTGCCAAGAGAGCACAGGCAGACTGCCAAGGCCTCTTTAAAGCAATATGATCAGAATGCATGGTACATTAAATCAGGAAATGCACGATTTAGAAATCAATCAAAACAGAAGCGCTGGTACCTTTTTGGTGATGAGACAATAGAGAGTGAGTATGAACAGCAGTCCTCCGCAGATAGAGACGATGATGAAGCCAAGCTTGTACAGGTCTTTGTCTGCTCTTCTCTGTGAGGCGTTCACCGAGATCCTATCATAACTTTCTGTAGAAAAAGACATGTATTTTATGATCTCACCGGCTCCACACCTCCTCATCATTCATCACAGTACATTAGCAGAAGAGATTCCCACCTGTAAAATATTCTGTAGGTGACTCTGTGTATAGCGTTGTGGTAGAGTCAAACATATCTGTGTATTCATGCTGGCATCTCCAGTCTACTGGTGCATTGCTCGTTGTCACCAGTTCCCAGTAAACAGACAGCACCTCTGCAGCCTTCTGCAGAGCCTCTGAAGTAGACCCTCTGTAGAGCATCTCAAAACTCTCTGGCTTATCCTGCGGCACATACCGAGAAAAATACTTTCAATGTTTTCACAAGTATTGCAGATGTATCTCTTGGCGCTGGGCAGTTTCTCACATCACATATGTCTTCTACATGTTTTATATTATAGGAAATGTAATCCTTCAGTCCTAAACAGGGTGCACACACTCACCTCAATCTCTTCATTCATCTGAGGCACACATTTCTGAGAGTAGATGTTGAGGATGAGCGCTCTCAGGGACTGAACATAGCCATCGTTGACTGAACCCCGACTGTATTTGAAGTGGGTGGTGAGGAGCTCAAAGATCCAGGGTAAAGCAGCTTTTACAAAGCAACATTTACTCTGTGGGAAATCAGAAAAACTAGGTAATAAACATGAACATGACTTTTAATGGAAAAGTTGAAAGGTGAATCACAGGAATTGGAAGGAAAACAGTCCCATAAAACAAATGTTACCTTACCAAACTTCTTTGTTCTATGAATGTGTAGGATATCGTGCATCCACTTCTCAACTGGTTATCCATCTGCAGGAATAAAAACAGGTAGATCTCAGCCCAGTTCAAGTAGAGCCACATTGTTTCTGATGCTGGTTCAACCAATGTGTTTCTAATCATTTTTCAACACCTACCAGATGCCTGACTGTCAGCAGGTGTTCCCTCGTAATCGAGTGTCTGCATGGACCAGGGACTTCAGCCATAGTCAGAGGAAAGCTCAGGAAAATAAGTACACACAGACACTTTACCTGCAACCAAGAAAACCAATGAATTATCTTAATGTCAATCACATACTATCTTCCCTTCAAATTCACTCAGCTGGAAAGTAAATACATTCAAATGAAAAAGAAAATTACTCGACAAACATTTGTCAAGTAGATTATGCTTGCTGAAATTGAAAAAGGAGGAATGTTCTCAACCAACAGTTCAAACATGGCAATTAGAGCCAATGAGACATCCTCACCTTAACCATTTCAATATGAGTGCACTCCACATGGTAGTCTCTCTCTGATTCAGTTTTCCCTCCCAAACCGTGATGATTTCTTTTCTCAAACAGCTGTCTTATAAATGATTTTACAAGCAAACTTAAATGGAATTTACCCCTAGTGGTGCCAAAACACTTAAACAGTTAGCATCCAAGCAATGCCTGCCTTTCAATCCAAAATGTCTGGAAAGTGCAAAAGAAAAGCTGCTCAGTTATAGTAACAACAACACTTTCTTTCAACGCCTGAACTTGGGTTAGGTTTCGGCAATACGAGCAGCGCCTCTTCATTGCAACGCTAACGGTGATGTTTAACTGTGAGTGACCTCAAAGGAACCTAGTCTGTGTTAGATAAGTTTCAGTTATGGTCAAACAGTGCCCTCTACCCTGGGATGCTTAGCCGGAGAGCAACTCTCCTCCTGGAGCTGAGGATGCCTGCTACCAAGCACCTTTTGGCAGCTCGACCAGTAGAATGGGCTCCAGATGGACTTAATTATTTTACTGAGGATTAAAACATGGTGACAAGAAAATGTTTCTCACACGAAAGATATTCCTTGATAATGATCTCTCTGAATTGCTTTAGTGCAGCTTCTGCAACAAACAGTCAGGACAGATGCCAGGGGAGCACTAAATGAAACAACTTTTATATGTTGTTTGATCAACTTCTGCGACGTATTAGGAAACAAAAGACAATTCTTTAAAGGCTACAAGAGACGATAAGTTTTCCTTTCATTCTTTTTTTTGGGTTACTTATATAATGCTGAACCGTACACTTTTGTTTAGATTTGTACAGTAAATGATTCAACATAAACATTTAATAGTTTCTGCGATGATGACGTTATGTGATTTTATGTTATAGTTTGCTACAAATACAAAATGAACTGAGCGTGCATGCAATTCAATCCATTGCCAGGACTCAAAGGAAAGCAAAAGACATTGTGTGCCGTTATGGTTTTATACTATTACAGCCAATGAAAAATAATCCGGTAAAGTGGCATCTGAAAGAACACAAAATAGTGATTCTCGCAGGAAAATAAGATGCTATGTTTTAAACTGAAGGACTATCATGCCAGTCTTTGTCTGTTATTGGAAAGCCTATTGATGGTTAATGATAATTAAATCAATGTAATCTAATAAAACTATTAATGTGACTGGCATGAAGTAAATGCAGGACCACATGATGCAAATGTCACCTGTCACATGATTTGCTTTCTCTATGCTGTTCATGGTCATTGTATGTAGATCAGTAAATAAAGCAAAAACTTAATTCACAGACATGCACAAGCCTGCGCTATTCTCTCCCTGCATTGACTGTGCGTGAATAATATGCTGCAGTGATTATAGAAAGGTTCTCACCTACCTTAACTTTGCTCTGAATCAGGGTTGACACGAGGATGGTCATCTGGTACGTGTTTGACAATGGAAAACACCAGACTCCTCTGTCACACACATTGAAGCAAAGAGATCCTTTTCATATATTCAGTTCCACTCCAGAGAAAATAATTTACTGTAAAGTAAACTTGACACTTCGTCATGTGGCGATGTTCTTAAAGGCATTGCCTGATGTGCTCCTCCTAGGGTGAGTTCAAACCGAGACTAACTGTTGCAGCTGACATACAGCCGTTTTAAAGACCTCCCACCTCTCCTCTGTTCGACAAAATACAGGATCCTGGGCTGAAGTTGTTTCATGGTCAATTGGTTTCTGGATTGTAGGTTGATGGATAATGTATTTTTGTTGGAGCATGAGTCCACTGAGGGAATTGTTAAAACAACGAATTGGACAAATAAAGTTTTTGGGAGCTTGAAGTGTGATAACATCTGTTCTTCATTCTAGAAACTCAATCCCTTGAAGGTAATTTGCATTTAAAACACTGGTTCACATATGCACTCTCAGAGTAACCGTTTTGATCTAGTGGATTCACTGCATTTATCTGACAGATGTAGTTACTCGTTACTTTATCACTCGAGGCTCCTGTCCAAAATTAAACCGGTTATATCCTTTTTAGACTTTGAGCGTGTTATTCATGCCTTTGTTTCTACTTGTCTAGATTACTTTAGTGCACTTTATGCCGGCCTAAACAAGTCCTCGCTGGCACGCCTACAGCTGTTACAAAACGCTGCGGCTCGGTTGCTTACAGGAACACGCAAGCATGAATACATCACACCTATTCTGGCTTCCCTCCACTGGCTTCCTGTCCATTTTAGAGTTCATTTTAAGATTTGATTGTTTGTTTTACATCGCTCAATGGGCTGGCCCCTCTGTACATCCCCGACCTCCTAAAGGTGTACACCCCCTCAAGGGCTTTGAGTTCGGCTGATCAGCTGCTGCTAGTAGTCCCTAAAACCAAGAAAAAGACCAGGGGAGACCGAGTCTTCTCAGCGGTATCCCCCAGGCTCTGGAACGACCTGCCCCCCCATGTCAAATTGTCGCCCACCCTTCAAACATTTAAGTCCCGCCTGAAGACCCACCTCTTTTCCCTCGCTTTCGAGTCAGTTTGAGCTGTTTTATCTATTTTTATGCTTTTAATGTCTGTCCATAGCCTTTATGTGCCTTTTATCTATTCTTATGTATGCCTTTTATCTATTCTTATGTGTGCCTTTTATCTATTATTGTAATATTATATTTTATTATAATGTTATGTTTGCTGTGAAACCCTCTGTTTTGTGCTATATAAATAAAGTGGATTGGATTGGATTGGATTTACAAATGAACCTTTTACATAAAAATCATGTGATCTACAAATAGAATAGAATGTAATGGATAATGGAATGTTGTTAAAAATAGCTCCACCCCCAGCAGCAACAACATTACCATTCAGTTTTCTACTTACAACATCAATGTTAATAATAATTAAATAACCCAATATAATAATATGCAACTGGATGAGGCCTGTGTGTGCAATGATTCCTTTTTAATTGAATCAAGAACACAATTAAAGTTGTGTACTTTCGCGAGAAATACACATTATAGTGCCAAGTGTGTACTAATCTGCCAGTGAAAACAGTACGTACAAATACACTAAGTAGTTTGAGTAATATTTCCTGAAAAAACTACAGTGCCCAGAAGTTTTAGGAAATTATGTAACCTTTATTAAAAATAAAACTATAACCACTTTGAGCACTTCTTCCACCATTGGGTTCTTCAAAGCGTTTGGGAACATTTAGATGGAAGAAGTACTCTAGTAGATTATTAACTTAAAGGTAGGGTAGGTAAGAATGGAGAAACCAGCTCGAGTGCGCTAGAATTTGAAAGTACGCAGCCGAAAAAAATCTGCCTTCAGACTTCCTTACAGAGCCCCTCCTCCAACACACACAAACGCGCACATGACCAATGAGGGCACGAGATAAGTTTGTGCACGAGATGGAAAGCTGACAGGCAGGTAGGCCATCCAGTTATTTTAGCCGGGCCGGTGAAAATAATTGGTCTAGCTTTTTACAGCGCCACGACTTTTATAATGTTCTAATCATAAATCTATCATTTATGATTAGAAAATTATAAAAGTAGGGTAGACATGTGGATATTATCCGGCTGAACAAAACGTGATCCGTCTCTTAAATGTGTGTCAACCACTGACCTTATTTCAAGCTATTTTCCAAAATCCTATGGAGAAATTGCATTGCATTTTTTGTCGAAGGAACCGGAAGAAGTTTACTTCCGGGTTTTAGGACGCGTCACTGCGGTTCTCTATTGTCAAAGCATTTAATATATTCATTGCTATCGGGATGTTAAGAGCATTCCATGGAATATAACAAAAAGTGTTTCTGAAGTGAATTACCTACCCCACCTTTAAGTAAAAGTAGCAATACTGCAGTGAACATAAACTCAGTTACAAGTCCTGCATTCAAAATTGTAGTTAAGTAAAAGTACAAAAGTCTTAGCATCAAAATATACTTTAAGTACCAAAAGTAAAAGTACTCATTTTGCAGAATGGGCCATTGAAAGACCAAATACTTTTAATAGGGGTTTATTTTGATTACTTTTTGTACTACTGGGTAGCTTAATAAATAATAATGTGGTAGAACGTGCAAAATAAATGTAGTGGAGTACAAAGGACAGCATGTGTCTGCTAGCTCCAGCTCCATATTGATGGGACACATATGTACGGTGGTGTCAATCTTCTCATCTAACGCTGGGCAAGAAATTGAATAGATTCATAATGTTCACAATGTATGAATTATATTCTGTACAGTATGAGAGAACCCTCTGGACTTAAGACGAATGGAGGACGATTAAGGATATTTGTCTTGAAATTATGATACATTTATAAATACTATGAAAAAGTACATCAATATGCAACGATGACAACATGTTAGAAATATCCATTATTAATAGATGGAATTTGTAAGCAAGAGAGGGTATTTATCCAAGAGTGAACGTTTTTGCAGCATATTAGTTTCAAGACTTGAGCTATACAAATATTTGGTAGTCACACTACAAGTTAGAGGTTACATTTTGAAGCATTTTGATTGCGCCGGCTCATTTCCAGCCTGAGTAGCTTTGTTGAACTATAGCCTATCGTAAGATATGCTTAAGCAATGGTCTGATTGTGTTGATGAAATGCCAGTAAAGAGATATGCACTTTCACCTCACTGTCGACTGTCAACAGATACAATCTAAAAGAGGACAATTCATGGATGTGAGAGGAAGGAAGCATATGGCACTCTCACTGTCAAATCATTGAAGCATGAGAGGACTTTCTTAACCAATTTCGAGAAAATGAGACAAAAACATCTGAAAACTGCATCTGCTGAATATGTGCCTTTATTGTTTTGTTATCTTGTGCCTCTTCTCCCTGCTAAGTAAGCAGAAATAACCGTGTTTGTCAGGTCGATCCCTAAATCACAAACCAAGATGCATTTTTACTCCTTAAGGATGTTGTTGTTCAGAGCTTTTCATGATGAGCTTCAATGCGATACAAAAATAAAGAGTTTTACTCTAAACAAAGTTACTCGGATTACAAAATGTAAAATGTTTGCTTTTTTTCAAAACAGAAAGAAAGACCATTGCTCAGTGAAACGGACCACAGGTTGCACTAAAACTATAGAGCAGAAATAACTTTGTTTAGGAAATGTATATCTCACTCCTACTGTAACTGATGGCTACCAAAGATAAAGCCCCAATGTAAAGAAGCAACTTCTGTGGGAGAACAGCACCGTTACACATCACGCTGTGAACATACTTCCATGACTACTGTGATATGGCTAATTAAATCTGCTACAGCAATTGGTTTTCAACTTGACTTCCCCATGGTCACAAAATGCATTTGACACACTTGTTGGAAAACAATGCAGTTATTAATGCAGTCTGGCTCGGGTCTAATTTAAATCCATGTAAACAAGTTTATTCTTGTCAAGTCAGTACAATACATGTATGGTTTTCCACTGTATCTATGTGATCATTTTAAGCACAGTCTCACACACAGACACCAGCACACACACACTTTGCATTTGCTGGAAGATGCGGCTTTTAAATAAATAGAAAACGTTTAGAATGCATTCAGTGCATTTGCTACACATAATGCAAGATATAAGATGCTGATATTCCTAAATGTGCACTGCTATTTACCTTTTATATACTACAGATGTAGTTTGGTCATGAGTTACCGTTAAAACTACTGTAACTGAAGCGAAAAATGGATGAAGAGGAGATAGCAGCAAAGAAAGAGAAAAAGAAAACAGAGCAACATGGCTGAGGTTTATCTTCCCGTCAGACTGCTGTAGCAAATCCTATCCGATTATTGTGGCGGTCAAACTCTGTGTAGTAGCGGGCAATGAAGTTGGCTCCCAAAATCCACATGGGACCTGTAGGGGGCGGCACATCCAAGGCCCTGAAGGTGACGGTGCAGACGTCCGCTTCGATCTGAGTTTGCTGCAGCCACAAGGAAAAGTCAGATTTATAACAAGACACTATAAGAGTAGCATACAGTGATGGAAGAAGCAAGCAGATCCTTCACGTAAGTAAAAGCAGCAACAACACAATGTAAATATAATCTGTTACAATTAAAAGTCAAAATACAATAGTATTATCTTCTTGTGTACTTAAAGTATAATCAGTAAGGTTTAAAAAAACCTTCTTATTACATAGTAAACCCACACAAATTCCAGCATATGTTCGTAGCAATTTGACCAAGTCTAATTAGCCAAATAACTAAAACATGCGTTGTAAGTATTTGCAGCTGTGAGTTAAATACAGCACATAAATAAATACATCTTTCTGAAATGTAGTGTAGTAGAAGTATTACGTTTTAAAAAGTCCTCAAAACTGTATTTAGGTACACTTCTTGAGTGATTGTACTTGATTGCATTCCACAACTGCACGTTTATATAAATATGATTCAGTATGTATCATCCTTCTTACCCATAAGATATAATCCTCCCAAGTGAGAGAGTATTCCTGGCCCCCCAGGTGGAAAGTGACACTGGGCAACGTCTTGACAGTGTTACAGTTGACTTTGTACTGATGAACAAAACAAATCAAAGGGTGATAATGGGTTGATGACTTTTCTTTTACAGACTAACGTATCTGTGGGAAACCATGTTGCATGCTTAAAAACTTACTCCACTTTCATCCAGCTGTGCTCCGATGTTTTTCATCAGCGCGGACACAGAGGACGCCGGGCCTGTAATGTAGGAGGAGCCGCTGTCGATCACTGCTGTGCAGCCCTCAGCACAAAACATCATCTCCATACCCACAGAAACCCTGGAAGCATGAAGGGTTGCACAATAAAACGTGTTGTTTCTCAATGAGTGCAAATACACATGATGTTTTATGTATTAAGAACAATTCTCACCCTTTCATGTTGACTTCCCATTTGCCAGTCTCTTTAGTGTCCATATAATTAAAGTTTCCGCTGTAGTAATCTGGGTCTGTGCCACCAAGAACCAGCTCTCCACCTGGGGAGTGTTTTGGATCCCTGGAAACACATTTCAAAAACCGTTCCATGACCTCCCATGACCTCTCATACTTATGAATTTTCCTAGAAAAATCCCAGGGAACCTTTATCATTTTCCCTCAACTGGTTTCACTGGACAAAACTGAGATTGATAAATAGAGAGTACGTGTTTTCTTCGAGCACTCGGTTCAAAATCAGCTCATAGGATGTCATTTAATAACAACATTTTCATAACAGATATTTATTAAGACAATATTATATTTCTATTTTGCAATTAATCAATTCAATTCAACGCTATGTTAAATCATTGTAATTGTTGTTTAATTCAAAACAAACACAAAAGTGTAATCTATATGTTCTTGCTAGCAGTGGAATTTTTTTTTTTATCTTACACATATAATGATTTATCTTCTGTTTATTTCATACAAGCTGGATGAGTTTAGTGGATTTAACACACCTGCTGTAGTAGATAGAGAACACCTCTTCCGTGAGGACATGCTGAGACATGATACCGTCAAACACGGGAGTAATGCCGTCGATGGCCACGTTTGGGTAACCCATCCCCAGGACTCCATCAAACTTGGCAAAGATGAAGGGCATGGCAGACAGAGAGGCTGCCTCAGCAAACACCTGCACCACAGGGATCCCACCAACCTGCACACAAGCTCAGAGTCACATGTTGGGAGTGGAGGCCGTGGCAGGACATTAAAGAAACAGTTTGTTAGAAAATAAACAAATTCTTTGTTTTTAAACTGGTTTAATGAACAACTCACCACAACCACATCCTCACTCAGAAATCCCCTGACATTCCCTGCAGCATACTGGATGGAAAAACCGGTTCCGTTCTCAACATAAGTCCGAGATTGGGAGGCATCGTATCTGTTGTGAGTGACTAAAAGTTCAAAATTCATTTGAGTTGTCAAAGTAGTTTGGAAGCTTTATCAAACAATGATTCTTGAGCCTCATTTATATGAAAATAACAGTTAAAACTGCAATCAAATTTCGTTTTTTGCCCACTTTGGGAAAAACCACACCAGTTGTAAACCACATTTAAGTCCATATCTTGAACTTTTACACATCCGTCAAATACGACTTTATCCTCCATGTGTTTCTTGGAAACTTGCAAATGTAAGCCCAACTTTCACTATCCTTTTGGTGTGCACCGACTTCTGAGGAAAATATGTTATTCTTATGTTATTCTTTAGCTGTTAAGTAATCCACTTTCTTTGCCAGTTTTTGAGCTAGTCTGTCAAAGAGGTGCTGAGCAGGTAGTGGAATATTTGTGGAATACTTGGTTTTCAGAGCTTTTTCCTTTAAAACAGATGCCTGCTACAGTACCAAAACAGTAGAGTATTTGCTCTAACAGTAAAGGCCTTATTGCAGCTGTAACTAAAAGTTATTTTCTGGGTCGCGGACACTTACAACAGGCGGTGGAGAAAGGTGAGCAGCTTTGCGAAGGCACCCACAGGTTGGCGGAGCCGGTGTCAAAGACCACGTTGAACAACTGGGGTGGAGAGCCAATACTGATTTCCCCGAAGTACTGGGTCTGTTAGAGATAATAAATACAATTATACAGTTATGGTGATCTATTTCCTGACTTTCTTAAACCAGCTAATTCCTTTGTCGTTTTGATGTTGTTTGATGATGTCTTTCAAATCCTTCTTTTGTGCAGTTAACACAAATTGAATTTGAGGTCTTTAACGATGCCACTGATGATACAATTATTACATGAATCAAAAGTTTAAATCTAAAGGCGATCGTATTTGCTGTTTTATTCTGTAAGAAGTTTTGAGTTTTGCCAAAGACAAGCTTCAAAGCCCATGGTTGCTGAAACCCTCAAAACTAAAGTGTCTTTTTTTAGCAGACATCAAATTCAATTACATGTAAGCATGTCGGTTTCTACTAAATTGAGCCTTCATAAAACACACAATCGTTTTTCAGAAATGTTCCTTAAATATATAGTACACAAAATTGTCTCACGTCTAAGTAGTTGGTTAGAGGGGTGGGAACAGTTCCGTTTTTGTCGTCTGTGCTCTTCTCGGCTAACTCATTTAGGATCTGCTCTGCAGAAACACCCATGTCCCTCAGTGTCTCTCGGATAGAGGACATCTTGTGCAGGGAGATTCTGGAAACAGAACAGACATTATTAATGTCTGGCGGCAGAAACGTAAAGACTTTGTGACAAAAAAAGAAATACTATGTTTACATGAAGTACTATTTCCATGCTACATATCAACTACATATGCCTGGTCGCCATCCCATTTTAACAATGATGCTTTAATAATGCCAGAATGCTTGCTCTCAGTGCTCTCAGCAAGAAAAATGAACAAAAACATATGTTAGGCTGAATGCTGAAAACAATAACTTTTACCAATAAAACATTTGTTTTCCTTTGTTTATTTTTGTTGTTTATGTCTTCTTGTTTTGTTCAAGCCAAGAAGACAGTTTTATATGAAAAAGTCTCACCTTCTCAAGGCATGGGTCCATGTCACTGTCGAAGACAAAGCAACCAAAAACATCCAGTAATTCATCAACAGAGCCATGGTGAATTATCAGATGACAGGTGGAAAATACAGACCAGAAATGAAGGCTGTATATGCAAAGTGGATTTTCCCAGGTTTGAGAATATTCCAGAATATCGAATATTATTAAAATGGCGGATATGAAAGCTGCTGCTCTCCCTCCCGTACTGCTGCCTCGACTCCCTTTATACCAACTCCTCTTCCTCATATGCCTCACCTATATGCCACTGACTGGATGGGAGCTCTGCTGGGGGTGACCACTTGAAAGCAAGCTCTGCTTTCCTCCTCCCAACCCCCTCTACCCTTCTGCCTTGGTCCCACAACCCTTACTGTGATAACCAGGTCCCTGTGAGAGGTCTGACCTTTGACCTCTTGAAAAACATTGAAGACAGAAAGCAGGGGTGCAGAGCTGCTGAGATTGCTGACGTCAGTAGGATGGACACCTTGTCTGCAGGGCCTGTGAGAACTTTTAGATTGATTGAAAGTTGACTGATTTGTTTTAAATTGCTTACAAATAAACTTGTCATTTTACATTTGACCTTCATCGATTTATACACATCTGTTCATGTATAACTTTAATTAGATGAGGTTTTATAAAAAGGCTGATTTCGTGAAAATGTTATAATTGTTGAATGTAGATTGCAGATTGTCCTGCAGTTGATAACATTTAGCTTGCCATGTCTCTTTTTCCCACAACCTTCGATTCCATATCTGTAAAGCGGACAGGTTTTACACCTCTCTGTTGACCCTCTGCTTGTGATTACTCTCATCATGCAATGTTCACTGCAGCTTGTGCACGACTCCGGTATTGATTCTCACAACACAGGCCAAGAGGGAAGGACATGAAACATCTGTAACTTCAGTTCAAGGTCGTTGATGGGTTCATATTATAACATATGGCTGAGATGGGGCCATGTTGAGTGTGTTATACAGAGCAGGAGATGGGCAGTGTGCTCTATTCAATCAGTCAATCAATGTTTATTTATATAGCCCAATATCACAAATGTTACATTTGTCTCAGTGGACTTCACAGTTTGTACAGAATATCAGTATGACAATACGACACCCTCTGTCCTTGGACCCTCACATCGGACAAGGAAAAACTTCCAAAGAAACCCCACAGTTTAAAGGGGAAAATGGAAGAAACCTCAGGGAGAGCAGCCGAGGAGGGATCCCTCTCCCAGGACGGACAGACTTGCAATAGATGCCGTGTGTAAATTGAAAAGATAATACATTTACAACATAGGTCAATTTGTCATACCGTGCATCTTGACGTAGTGCTCTGACCCGACAAAGCCTAGCAACTTACCATTATGTCCTGGTTCTCACTGGGTTATACAGCGGGGGGGGGGGGGGGGGGGGGGGGGGGGGGGGGTCACAGAGTATCTGGCCTGTCAGGTTGAGGTCGTGTTTTAGTACTGTACCGACCACCCGGTATGGCAAGTAGATATGTGGGGGTTTATGTCAGAGTGACGCCTGCGAGGTACTCCCTGTGGGCAGAGCTCCCAGAAAATGGGGAGGCTGTGGCTCAGTGAGATAGTGTGCTGAACTTAGTGCGCTGAACTCTGAATCAGGGGAGCACAGGTTCAAACCCCACTGCAGTCAGCATGTCGTTGTGTCCCTGGGCAAAACACTTCACCCCAAATTGCTCCTGTGGGGATTGTCCACAGTATTGAGTATGTAAGTCGCTTTGGATAAAAGCGTCTAACAAGTAACATGTAATGTATAGGCAGTATATCCAGACAGAGAGTGACTTACAACAACAAAAACACTGTATTGCATCAAGTTTGACCTATAATTCAACTCTCTATAATTAATAATAATGATAATGTTTACTTGTGTGCAACTAATGAATATACAAAACAAAATGTCCTCTATGTTTTAAAATAATCGAATTACTTTCAAACCAGCTTTAATAAAACATTTAAAATATAATTTAGAATGCATCAAATGACAAAGTGAAAACAAGGAAAGTTTTTGATAATAATGATAAACTTACAGATAATTATAACCTGAATCTGCAGCTTTCATTGACTTTATAGTGATTTTCAGCTCATTGTTAAGCTCTCTGGCCTACAGCTATTTTTTGGTCGACTCTCACTGCTGACCCCAAGCCTGTTTTTCAGGTTTCAGGCTCGAAAATGACATGCCCAGAACAAATGACTATAACTTCACTTCTAAAAGGGTTAAATTAATAATATTTTTTCTCAAAGCAAGGTTACATCTGTGAGATGGATGTAGAAGTGTCAGAATCAATATAGATGTCTCTGTGTCAGAGTGAATTCAGATGGAACATAGTAAAAAAGAAAAAAGTGTAAATTCTTACCTCCGCCTAAAAAAAAAAGAATTACTTATAGTGAAAACCACCCTTGAATGATGGGTTAGTAGCCTAAAAGCTTTAGGAATCCAAAGTATAACATATAATAAGTACCCTGTATCAAGATTGAGGCAAAACAAGTGAAAATTGACCTTTTTAGAGATATTTAGGGAAAAAAAGTCCAGGCGGAATAAGCTTTGGGCACATTTGGGCACATCTGGTTCCATCAGTGCCATTTGACCTTTTTCAGGTACCAGACTGTAAAAATCATTTTATAACATTGAATCATCACTATAGTTATTCATTCCATAAAAAAAAAAAAAAAAAATTATTGTAAAATTTAACCTGCTAATTATTGTCATGGATTTGAAAACTGATGTTGTTTATTTGCTATGTTCTGGCTGCTAGCTCAGTGAATTATTGCCTGCAGTGATGGGGTGTATACCCATGGAATCTGTGGAATCTCAGCTTTCAGATGATGTGTTGTTTGTGCAGAAAGTATAATTATAAATGATAATTTTTGTGAGTTATGAGCAGAAATAGCATTAGTCCGTATTTGCTAAGGGCTCATTGAAAGGCTTCTTGTGGGAATTATTATTATTATTTTTTTTTTTTTTCGTATAGTCAGTTAGCTGAGTTTCTTCCCGTCAGCTGGGTGTGGAACATTAATAGTTTCATAAATTCTTCAGAGATCACACTGGTGCTAGCAGATGTAGCATTTTCGGACCCTTCGGCGGGTCCGTGGGGTTTAACAGGTTAAGTGTCATTTTCTGGTAAGGCAGACAGCTGTTTACATCAAAAGCTGTTAGAAACAACTTGTTACCTCCACCAACCAGCAGACAGACAAAGTTAGCGACTAGCTGGTGAAGAAAGTGAAGCATTTAAAAAGGAAATAAAAAACTGTACTTACATTCACCGGATGTCCTTTACCTCCAAATGAATATATTGTTGCTCTGTCACTGTTGCAAATGGTCGCTTACAACTTCAAGAGACTTAAAAGCTGTAATGATCGATCTTGTGGCCACTTGGTAGAACGTTTAAGAAGCTGTTGACACAATATTTTATCACCCTTATAAGTTGTTGTCATATCCGTGTTAGAAGTGGGTACAACACTTTATTGGGTGATGATTGTTGTGGGTTCATCACTATGGGCGATCCCTTTCCAATTACACATGGTTACTTGATTTGTCATTAATATAAATATTGAATCAAGGTGCCTACAACTAGGCCTTACAGGCTGGTTTTAAAAGCACTTTTTGGGCACAATCTCACAGACATCTGACTTTTGACCTGCCTGACCAAAGTTACTTTCCCACACTGCTTAGAGGTTCCCATGCGTCACTCCTGGCCTGGCCTTCCACCTTTCCAAGTAAGACCACTCTGGTGGGCATGGGAAAGGTAGAAATCATGAAAGAGGATTTATTTGGGCTTCATGTTGCTTTTGGTGTCATTGATTGATATTTCCTTGGAGGCACACACGTCAAAACTCTCTGATCTGTTTCATGAAGTAAATGGTGGTTATAAATGAGGAAGCTGTCGAACAGACCCCAAAAGAGTGGCTGCTGTTCGACATGCATCACAGGCAGAATCCAAGTAAGAGGATATTTTTGGGTAAGCTATCTATCATGATAAGCAAGATATGCAGCTGAGCAGTGTTTGTTTGCAGGAAATGAGACTTGAGGGGAGTTATCAATCAACCAAACAAGCTTGACTCCCAAAACCACAACAACTCAACTTTGAATCCTGACCAGCTGTTAAAAACCACAAAATGCTAAATATTGTTGTTGTTCTCTTTGAATTATTTTAAGTCGGTGCATCATACATTTAGGTGTACAAAAAAGGAAAGAAGAATCATTTGGTTTCACTGATATTATCCTTATTAACGTTTTATAAATATGAAGCCAATGAGCTCCAAATTAGAAATGACTACACTGTGATTCCATCTGGAGACAATATGTATGAAAATATGTGGGACATTCTTCACAACAGGAGGTCAAATATGTAGAAATGGAGGCCAAACGTGTAGTAAAAACATATTTAACGTTCATATGATATCCATCCTCAAGAGGGCTGTGAGTAATAGAGCTGATCCTTATTTTATAAAATGTTTTGTAAGAGTAGATACGATTTTCCTTTTTTCACATTTTTCCAGATGAATTTGTTTTTTGGAGAAATAAACATGCAGTATCGCTCCTGACCAGCAGAGCGCAGCATTGGAACTAAAACGCATCAGGACAGATCACATGCCGCTGTGTGTGTGTGTGTGTGTGTGTGTGTGTGTGTGTGTGTGTGTGTGTGTGTGTGTGTGTGTGTGTGTGTGTGTGTGTGTGAACTGAAATGTAATACTTAAGATAAGTCTGGTATTTTATTTTTATTTTTATCAAGAACAAAAAAAAAAGATTATTTCTTTCCACTAACAAATCTTCTCTGTGTATCCGAAACATAAAACAGCTTGTTCCTCTCTGCAATATACGTCATTGCTTTCCAAATGTGAGTATATCTGGTCTTCTGGTCAATAGAATTGAATCTGTATATCCAGATAGATAAACAAATTATTAACAAAAGGATTTAAGGCCAGATGTACAGTAAAATAAGGTTAAGGTTAATTTGCTACTGGTTTCTCGGGCCCCATTTATACATATTAAGTCCCATTACTTGGAGAGTGCATGTGTTATCTGTGGTTTATCTTGGAGAGAGATAAAGTCAATATATCTGGTTTGTGTCCTGTGAAGATGCACTTCAATTCCCAGGGAGCTTTATTAGGAAACAGGTGCTCCACAAAGGCAGAAAACATCTGGTGAA